CCCCAAAACCCCAAAACCCCAAAACCCCAAAACCCCAAAACCCCGAGCTCAAGACCCTATATTGACATTGATAGGTTGGAAATTATAGTGATCATGATGAATGGAGACGGTTTTCTAGATATTGCTTAGTTACTTTAAACCCATCAAAAGCCTAATTCATCCTCAAAATTTAGATCTGTGTTGGGTTGGAGGTCAGAGAATTGAATCGACCCTTTAACCCTTGGGTTCTTCCATAAGTGGGTGTTTTAAGTTACTGAAAGATAGTTTTTGTAAAAATTTATGTATGAGAAGCTCCTATTATTTTAGCCTGGAATAAACTCTAAGAATTGAAGAGCCTCAATGATGATATTAGTGAATACATCGAAGATGCCTAGCTGGGAGACCTCAGAGGAAACAAAGTTTTCATGATTTAGGCCTATTAGGAGCTCTCTTATCTTCTCTACGTTGTTATCATTGAAAGTAAACTTGATGTCTGGGTCGAACTCTGAATACCACCTTCCTCTAGTCTCTTCTAAAGCTCTGAGTAGCTCGGCTTGTAGGTTCTCTAGAAGAATTATGAGGAGAATTACCAAAGGAAAGATCTATTCCCATGAATGTAAAGTAGAGGTTCAGGACTATGAGGTCTTTCGGAGAAAGCTCAGAGTTTTGAATTGCATTAACTAGACTCTCCCAATCATTCCTTCACCACTCGCTATCGTAGTCAGCTCTAAGAGACTTGGATATTTTGAATATTTCATTTTCTTGATTATCTGAAGATTCGCTTAATATTTTAGGAAACTCAATTTTCTGGGTTTCGATATCATTATGAATCTTGAGCTTATGCTTGATCCCTCTACAGAGGGAATTCATGATTCTTCTATCACCATAATAGCCCATTATTTTGTCAAGGACCTTCCCAGGGAGCATCACGGCAGACTTAACCATACCTTTTTGGTAGCTTGGGGAGTCAAAATTGGAGGTGTAATTGTCTTCATCCTTATCTTCTTCTATTCTATCTTTATACACTGGGACAAAGGCCTCTTTGGGGTCGTATTTCTTCACTCTAACTCTGTCCTCAGCAGTCAGCATGAGGTGAGTAAGCCCATCATTAGAAGTCGTGTTGTATTTATTATTCATTATTCTCTGCTGGACCTTATTCGATTCAGCATTTTCAAGCTCTTTTTCAAGCAAATTGTTGTCATTGTAGGAGACAGCTACTCCTGAAGAGCACCTTAGCTCTTCTGAGTTGAGCAACTCAGAAGATGCCCTATGAACATCTTCTTTCGAAGAAGTATTTGATTCCTGAGTTGCACTATATCTTTTCGATGGCCTATAAATTGTAAGAACCAACAATACCATGGCTGGACGCTGGTTTGGTGGCTTGGCAGTGAAGCTGGCATGTTCATGTTCTTGAAATATTTCGGCTGCTTTTTATAGTAACCTTTAATTTCTGATTTCCTACACTTCTGGTTTGTATACGCATTTATATTCCTCATATCTGAAGCATGAAGGCCCATTCCTTGTGAATTTTGAATGAGAATCATGGACTGTTTCTCATAAGTTGATCCAAGGATGTCTTTTCTAGCTAGCCCATTCTTACTAGATCTGGAATGCCTTGATCGTTTATCTTGAGAAGGAAGCCCTCTTAAGGAATGGATTTCTACAGCTTAAGCTAGTTGTTTACCTTTAGAAGAGTCATTTAGAGACTGGAGGTTGCGATGCTTGACTTCAAAGCTGTTACTCTGGCCTATCCTATTTCTGGCAACATCAAAACCTTGAACTAGGTCCTCTTTGTACTCTTTAGAGATCATGGCTGAGATCTTTGCCTTCCTGCAGTTACCCTTTTTAAGAGTAAGCTTTTTCTGTAGTTTTCCTGTTGAGGAAACTGCATCACGAATGATCTCGTTACCTATCATTTTCTTCACCTTGATGCTATTCTCTGAGTGGAAACTTGGGGTATTTGTCTTATTCAGCTTGTTTGACTCTAAAGATTATCAGATAAATACCATCAATAGAGTTGAAAGGTCTGTCAATGTAGTAATCATAGTCTTCCTTTTTGCCTTTGACACTATCGCTCATGGAATTCGGACACGAATCCCTCTTACTGCTGTGACTAGCAAGTTCATACCTGATATAGCGATCCTTCTCTGCTGAATATTCAGCAGTTGCTTGAGCTTTAGCTCTATCAATTCTGAAGATCAAATCTTGAGACTTACCGTTCTGCACTGTGATTCTGAGGGAGCCCTCTTTCTTCAAAGTTTATCTTAGGAAGTTTGCTAGTTTCAAACTGTTCAAAATTACGATTATCTTCAAAAGTTTTAGAGTTTGCTTCTGAAACCAGCTTCTGCTGGTTTCTAATGCTTGACCTTGGCTTTATGAAGTGGTTTGAGATATTTTTGGAATTTCAAAGACTCCTCTTCTTGATTCCCTGAATCCGCTTCTTATGACCCATAATACTGGCATATTGGATCAGACTTTCCTCATTTGCGATGGAGCTCTCGATCGCTCCGAAGGAATTCTTTTCAAGACTTGGCATTGTTGACTTCTTCAATCTTGAAATGTCGATCTCTTTACAGGGTTCATCCTGTTCTTGGTCTTTTCTCTCAGTGGCAGCTGAGATTTCCATTCCTTTCTCTCTACGCAGAGTGTCTTTGTACAAGGAATTGGGATCATCTTGGCCGGAGTTGTTGCCAAAACTTGGGGTTTTCATTTCTCTTGACATCCTTGTCTTTTTCATCGTTGGTGTAACCACTTTCGTTTGTTGTTTCTTCTTTTGTTCATTTCTAAAATAAGAGGTTGGCTTACCTAGAAGCAGAGAGGGAGACACTATGGCTCTTCACCTCAGTACTGTTGAAACTCTTTTGGCTATTGCTACTGTATTTCTTAAGACCAGGGAGGCTCTTCTTTTTACGCCAGGCCTGTTTTGGTTTGGAGCTAACCTCATCTTCATAAATACTCTTGTTTTTAGCGGTGCATCGACCGGTTAATTTAACTCTCTTAGGAAGCGAGCCTGGCTTCTTATCCTTCGAAATTGATCTTGAAGAGAGAGAACTCTCGGTTGTGACTGGTGCAGCCTTGGCCTTCCTGATTGAAGAAATTGTTGGCTCATTGAACTTCTTGTTCTTGCCAGGGCTATGCAGATTCAGAAAGGAGATTTGCTCCTTTCAAATTCTATGAGGTTAACCTAAGATGATACTTTTGAAATATTTCCTTCTTGAGGGTTTTCCAAAATCCTTGGTGGGAGGTTGAACCCAATGAGTCAGTCCCAAGACTCTCTCTATCAAGGATGGTCAGTTTTTCGAACTGGAAGCTACCCTCACTGGATCCCTTGGCCTATATACATGGTATTTTCTGGTGTTTAAAATCACTGAAATTTTTCTGTTCAAAATTATTTTGAAGTTATTATTAGGAAATTTGGAGAAAGGAAAATAAAATTTTAGGTTAAATTAAACCTGGAACTGACTGATTCTTACTTTCGAGGAAGCTTGTCAACAAGCTAAAATTTTCATTATGAGTCTTTGCTAGTAAGTTGAACATTCTATACCAAGAGTTAGCCTTTTGGCTTATGTTATAATATTGGAGATTTAGACAGGGAATAAGCTACTATTATTTAGAAAATATCTACCCTAAGAGCCTTATTAAACGATCCTAAATATGTATCCCCATTAAAATGGTCCATACCCCATAGCTATTTTGAGCATGTCTCTGTGAGTTACGAATTCTGAGTCTTGAAGCCTGGACATATTTTCTTTTCTTTAAAATTATTCAAACATTCATTTAAATTAAGTCCATCCGGGGTTTTGGGGTTTTGGGGTTTTGGGGTTTTGGGG